GAGATCTCCTAGTGTTGGCTAGTCTCTCCAAAACAGGGGTCTTCAAGCCAGGACTTGTGCAGTGAAAAGAGACTCTGCCAAACTGCAAACATGCCCATTACGTGTTGAGGGAAACCCTGGAGTCTAGAACCTGTCATAGGCAGAGAAGAATCCTGCTATAGCAGAAAGGAAGGAAAAGGAAGGAGAGAGCCTTTGGCAGAAGAGATAGGGGGGGAAATGAGCTTCACTTTTCACCCCAGGCTTGAAACCCCAAGTGCAGATGAATTGAGGAGAAAACTGAAGGCAAACAAGGCCTCTGGATGAACACAGGCTAGAGGAACAAAGTAGAAATGACCAGGAAACTGCACATGCCTGCAGCGGCACTGGAGGTTGCTGCAGCCCCGTGTGTCCTTTCCACCCACACCCTTCCTGGAGAACTGCTCTTATTTCCTAGATCTGTTCTGAATAACACCAGAGAGTGTATGTCCCTCGCCATCTCACGTCAAGACCTTGTGGAAAGCAGTATACTTTAGTCACTCTCCCTATCCTGCTGGGACACTTATCAAGAATTCTACTCCCCAAACATCTGTTGGATTGGGTACCAGGTCACATTTCCATCACCCGACCTGGGGAAGCAGGTGCTTCCGCCCAAAGGCCCGTGGACCTGGCAGACTCTAGGCAGGCTCCGCTGAGGATGTGATAGATAATATCTAGAGATAGTTTACAGGGGCTGATAGCGTAACTTCAAGACAAGCCTGGGTAACTGGTATTTGCTTGAGGTGATAGAACTAAATTTATATCCCTAAGGAGGCTGAAGGTGATATATAAGATTCTGTTCATATCAGGGTGTATGGCTCCCTAACTGCTCAGCACTACTCTGGATATTGTTGAGGCCTGAGTAAAGAGAAGCAGCCGGCTCAGTCAGATGGTCCCAGCACACAGCCTGACTGGTGCAGAACCCTGTAAGCCTAATGCACCTATATGAACAAGGGCGGATTTGGAAAGAGGAAGACTGATCCACACTTGCATACCCTTCGAATGAGCTTTTGGGTGTTAGAATCTGTCACCTCTCTCAATCAGGATAATGTTGCTGATCTTGACTATACATGTTCTGATTGTATTCTCTTCCTTCACTCTCCTAGACAAGTAAAATTTGATTTCACCAAATGGTATTTGTGTCTGGTTTTCCCACCAAATCAAGCTTACAACTCATTAATACAGAAGTTGCACCCCACTACAAAGGGAAGTGATGCAGACCTGGAGCTGTTTTCCTATTATTTTCCTCAAAGCTCACGATGTAGGTCAGCTCTACATTCATGATGGCAGGAAAGGTGCAGCAACATGGCCAGACTAACATCCTCCTATCTTGGTACACAGAGGCAGGAGACATGGGAAGGGAGCCTCAGGTGCTCTGGCATCTCCTATGGCCTCGTCACATCTCAGGGAACCTGCTCTGGGGAGTTTACCTGGCTTCCCATGCCTTAGACATTGTGGATAGCAAAGGGAGCTGCACTGGCTGACCTTTGAGTGTACAGGGAAGCCATCCAGAATCCCTCAGAGAGTAATGGGTTTTTGAACTCATTGGCTTTGAAGACTCCATCTGCCACCTGCCCTGGCAAGGTTAGGGTACACTGGACGCAGCCTGAGTAGGTTGCCAGATCTCTGCAGGTTTCAGGGTTTGGTCCTAACTGGATCCCTCAGAACCCAGCAGTGAAGAGTTTCTGCCAGGCCTTCACATTAAATTCCAACTCTTCCTTCATTATCTCTGCTTCTGTGTCATACACACATGCTCATGTGTACACACACACACACAGACACACACAGACACACACACACAGACACATGTCAAGAGGGCTGGGATTTAGTATTATTTTTGATCCAAAGCAGAAATTTAAGAGTATAACAGGAACTTATGTTTACAGCAAAAGAGGTAAAGTGACAGAATTAAAGGGCATTTATGTGCCAGCCCTGAGTGACTGCCCCTCAATCTGACATGATGACTCACGGAGGGGGGCTCTCAGCCTTTCTCTTATTATCCATGACAAATGTAAACATTAAGGATGCTATTTTCTCATCTGATACAGTTCCCAGAGGACACACAGCAAGCTGTCAGAATGAGAGACATACGTGATGATTGTACCTGAGAATTGTTATGTGCCAGCCACAGTGCTGAACTTCATGTTGATTAACTTGTTTAATCCTTACAACCGCCCTTTAGAGACAACGGTGCTATGGGCTATTTCATAGGTAAGAAGACTGAAGTGGAAGGACAAACAACCAGCACACAGCACCAGAGCCATGGGAACTTAGGTCCATCCAACCCCAATGTGTGTGTGTTCCAGCACTCTGCCTACAGCCTCCCCTGCCCAAACGGTGGCCGGTAAAGCACAGTCAACCTCCCAGGGCCACTTTTCATCTCTTCTGGTACCATTGCCCCAATTCTGCCAGTTACATGTTTATTTCTAAAAGGGGAAGCGCGCTTCCCCTCTCGGGATGGATCTGAAGTCCAGGGCATTACTTCAAAGAGATGGAAAATAACAAGGAAGGAGCAGCCCCTCTGGTTTGCCCTCCTATCAGGGCACAGGCAGTACATTTCCTTAGCTTTGCTGTAACAACTGAGAAATTACCATTGTATTAGCTAAAGTGATTCTAGCTGCTGTACAAATGCCTCCCCAGTTTCAGTGGTTTAACCATGAAGCCATTTACTTCTCACTTACATAACTATTGAACACAGATTTGCAAAAAGTGGAAAGGAAGATGGGCCAGGTGACCCAAGTCCCACAGCTCTTTCCCCTCAGCAGTGAAGGAATCCTCCAGAGACTGCTTCCTACCCCTCCTCTGAGTAACACCCACTGCTGCTGAGGGCGGGGTGTGCCATCCCCCCAAGGACTACTCCCCTGCTGTGGGTACTGAGGAAGAACTGGCTGGGCATGAATCAGGACTCATCTCTCAGCCCCTCCACATCTCTCATCTTTGTCCTTTTCCCATTTCTGTCACACAGCTTCAACACTCCTGATTACAAGTCAGAATTAAAGTCAGCAATGAGTTCTAAGGTGCAGAAGTCTATTATGACTCTAACTACCATTGCCAGTGGCAGGTGTGGACAATTTAATGAGGCCACAGATGACCTCCTTTGAGAATGCTACAAGGAGCTGGGGAAGTGAGGGACAGTTCAGTCAGTGTCAGTTTGCCAGCTACTTCTCAAGTGCCTCCTAGGTCCTCCGAGTCTCTCTCAGGGATTAATTCTGAGGCCAGGAGAAAAGAAGACTTAACTTTCATGGCCCGGGGACAGAGGTGTCTTTAGGGACCTGCAAATTAGGCAGCCCTATATGCTCCTGAACACACTCAGAGCCCCTAATGCTTGGAGTCTCTCTCCTGTTCCATTCCAACAGAGTAAGTGTCCCTTTGTCCTCAGGCCTGAGTTGGGAGTCTTTCTGCCTCTCTCATGGTGGCTCCACATATTTATGCTAACTGGTATCAACAGCAGACATGGGCAAAGGCTCTGGTCCTGCCCTCTGAGGATGCCTGTGCAGGGAACGGCTGCTGGCACCAGGAGAACTGAGGAACGTTCTCTGCCTGGAACTCAAAATGCCCTCGTAAATAACTGCTGTCCGCTTCCTGGCATTGCCACTCCCAGGGGTTCCATTCTCTTCACTTGCTCAGAGCAGAAGCAAGAATGCTCACAGAAGCCTCCACTAAGCACAGCAAATGTCTCTCCTCTGCGCCCTTGTAGCACTTTCCATGGATAATGCGTATGGTCTGCACTTTAACGATCAGCTTATGCACTATCTTCTGTCTCTCTTATCGGCTCTGAAGGCTACGAGGAAAGAGTGGGCTTCTTATTCACAGTTGTGTTTTCTAAATCTAAATGACATTTGATTCACAGGAATATTACTTAGTAAGAGTAAGCGTGAATTACTTTTGAGGGAAGTCGTGAGCAAAAAAATGAGTCAATGAACAAAAACAAATGAGAGGGCCGGGATTTAGCTCAGCGGTTCGGTGGCCTGCCTCGCAAGTTCAAGGTCCCAAGTTCAATCCCCAGTACCAAAAAAAAAAAAAAAAAAAAAAAAAAAAAAAAGGAAACAAACAAACAAACAAAACAATGAGAGAAGAATGAAGAAGTAGTGATGGGAATGAGTGAATGAATGAGGATGAGAGTGGCAGAATGAAGGCCGGTTGCCTTCAGGGATCCTACCTTCCTTCCCCTTCCTACCAAACAAAAATAATATATTTCACACCCTCCCCTGCAACTAGATATGCCCAAAGCTCTGGGACTAAATTAAATTAAGTAGCAGTGTTGCATGGGATCTCAAAGAGTCCTTAGAAAAGGAGTATGTGTTCCTTTGACTCACGCCCCTTTCCATCTTTTCATGGCCTGGACAGTATGTGAAGGCTGGAGCTTAGCCACCACGCTGCACGATGAAGAGACTTCAAGAAAAGAAATCACAATGGGACGAACGAGCCAGACAAGCAGAAAGACTGAACATCTAGGTCTCTGTTGACCCTGAAGTCACTATAACAACATGCTAAACTGCTTCCTTCTGGACCTTCTGATTTAAAAAAGAAATTTCTATTTTACCTACTATTGTTTTATAGTTTATTGTATTTTATTACACGTAGTTGAACCCGATACTAACCAACTTACACAGAATCACAGATTAGTGCCAGGGCCATTCCTTGATTCAAGACCTTCTCTCTCTCAGTCTCAAGAACAGGCTCAACACAGTGTGTGACAGCCTGAAATGCCACATTCAGCCAGATTCTGCGATGCCCTCCAAATGCCAACCTAAAGCCCTGATGTAGAACCAGATAATCTTGATTTTTTTAAAAAAGACAATCAGAGTGACGGACGATCCCTGATCAATACTCCAAACTCACTAGATTGGTGGGAGCACAGACTGAATCTCAGATAAAAGGCAGGTCCCAGGAAATGTAGCCAGGGAAACATTTCCATGAGGTAGGTGGTGGTGCTGTGATACTTTTGGTGTTCTTGCATTTCAACAGTAAAGGTAGGGTCTTACCTCCACCAAGGAATGCCAGTGTGCGATGGGCTTCCGAGGATATGACAGCATTTCACTCCAGTGGTCTCTGCCCAGCCTCTCAGCCTCGTTGCCTACTTGACACACACCGATGATCTCATTGTGACCTACACTGTGAAAACGGCCCACAATAGTTTTTTCTTAAAATTCTGGTATGTAAAGGCAACAACTACTCAATTAAACTGGTGGAGTAAATAGAGAAATGGTGTTTTTTCATTCCCTAATTTACAACTATAAGTCAAGTTTTATAGCTAACAGGACTTGGGATTTGATGTTGCACCTGGCTTTTCTAACACTGATATGGGTTGGTTTGTTCCCAAGAACACTATGTCCAAAGAATTCCCTGATATATGCTAAGAGTGCCTCCTCTGGTTCTAGAGCTGGGTTGGTCTCCAAATCTATGTAATAAACAGGGAGCCATCTAAAAGGTTTTTCTTGCAATAGTGGCCACCAAAATTTACACAAGAGGCAACCAAAGATGAGTAAATGGAGCAACTCTGAGTCTGCAGTCATGGGTGTTGAGACCACAAACGAGGGTAGAATGGGGGAGGCTCCTGAGTCTCTCTGCTCGCCATTCTGTCAGAGAATATTGTCCTCATCATCTATGCTTCCCTCTTTCCATCTAAGCCCAACTTTTACTCTTTGACCCAACCTGATTTCCTAACTATGCAAATATCTTGGCTCTTTTAGCCTTAGGATTAACATTTTTGAAACTTTTCCTGGGTATGACTCTGCTTTTGGCCAATTGTGTTTCTTAATGTTTTTTGTTTTAGTTAAAATCTTTTGCATAACTGGAAGGCTCTTACTCATCCCTTAACTCTTTGGAATCCAAACCTACATATTTTCTTTGTGCAAAAGTGAGTAATTTTTCTACTATTTGTGTGAGAGTGCTAAAGGGGTGACAGGCATGGGGTAGGTAGCATGAAGGATATTCGAGTCTGTGCTCATTAAAATCAGATGCATAAAGAAGCCCCATGGATTCTGCTATGGATTTTTCCAGGCCAGATTCATGAGTTTACTGATAATTAAATTGAGGCAGAGATCACATAACCAGATTTGTCAATGCAAAAAACTTGGCAATAGCTTGAAAAGTGCTTCCACAGCTAGTGGGCAGCATCCCCTCCTGGGGCCTGACACTACTCGTGTTGTGTGTTGCCCAGAAAAGATGTGGCAAGGGTTATTGTCCAGCAGGTGTTGTCACACCCAAGGGCAGCCATGCTGGAAGGTGGTCATGCTTCACACAGGCATCTGCTGGAGAAAGTGTTCAGGTCATTGCAGTGGGCTTGCTGACATTTCAGAGGTATGTGGGAAGTTTTTAGGTACAAGTAATATTTGTGAGATTATATTAGAAGTCAGAATGACTTTTTTCTTTTATAATTGTGCCCAGACCACGTGGGAGGTTTCTAATTAAAAAGAGACTTTGCATTTCAGTCTAATGACTGGTTTAACATGTATAATTCCCTGTTGGTACTTCCTTTGCATATTAAAATGACTGTTTTTTAAATCTGTCCTTTAAATACACAGTTGGCTACAATGCAGGCTATAAATATCTCTTCTGTGCTGTATTAATTAAAAGTCTAGCATCTTATACATTTTAATGTACCCTGTCATCCATACTGATTCTAGCATTTTCAAGAGAACATTTCTGTGTTTGCTTTCAGACTTAAGTGGATGGAAATGATCTTTATTAAACACACTGCAAGGAGGAAAGAAGGAAAAAATGATTGAAGTTATGTATTTAGAAATGTTGATGGTCTGGCTAGAGTAATCATTCTGCTGTTTTGAGCGGAACCTTTTCCCTAAAGGTAGTCAGGATGGTCAGGAAGTAGGGAAGACCCATAGCATCATAGTTTTCCAAATCTAGATTCTAGGAGATATGCAGAGATGGGAAAGGGAGCAGTGAGGGTGGGGGAGGAGAAAAAAGAAAAAGACTAGACTGAGAGGCCCTGTAGCAACCGTGCCTACAGCATGTTTTGGACAACAGTGATTCCTTGTCAACCTGCCTGCCACACACTGCCCCTTTAGTCATTTCCTGTGGCCTTGGGCACCATTCCAGAGGAATCCATGGCTGGTCCCCACTTTGCCCTCCCTGCCCAGGGCACAGAAGACTTGCACTGAGACAGAGCCCCAGGTATCTCACCGGTCATAGTCCATGACTGCTATGGACAAGTGGATTTGGTCAATGTTCTCAGGAGGGACATCAAAGACTATGGCTTCATTGTAAACAGGATTCAGCGTGTTCCTCTTGGTGGATGTTTTCCTCTTCTTCAGTCGTCTGCCATCACACATCAGTGAGACTTTCACATAGGGATCTGTACAGGCAAGAGAAGCAGGGGCACTGTGACAATAAATGTAGATTGGGAGTATGCATGTAGAATTCCTTTACCAGCCTGGAGTTTGAGGATTTTTATTAATGTAGTGTCCAGGACAGTGACTAGTTAGGATGATTAAGTCATTCATTCATTCAAAAAAGAAAGCACAGGACGGTGTCTTCTAAAAATGTGAGAAATTTAAAAATAACATGAAAACATCTGTTATGGAATTAGAAAACATTTCAGCTAGAATTCAAGACCTGTCTGGCTGTGACATAAACAGAATTGCATAGATTATTTCCAAAGAGTGGGAAACAGGCCTCAGGCCCCCAATTCTGAGCCATCCCAGGGAATGTTTTCCTAAAGATCAGGCCTTTAAGGGAAAGAATTCCTAGAGTTCCTGAATTCCTAGAAGACAGGGAGATCATCTGGGGTACATTTCCTCAAATACAGAGGGTCACAGAGCTTGTGCAGGCCATAGTATAGGTGCAAAGTGAAAAGCATTTCATCCATCAGGGAGAGAAAGGACCCCAGCTTGCTTAGGTGTGACACTGTGATAGGGTGACAGACGATAAGGCTGACTTCTGCTTCAGACAATGCTGTTCTGGTCCCCCAGCACCTCACTGTCCACCTGCTCAATGGAGAGCTCTCCATCTCTCCTCACCTGAAAGCCACGTGCTGCCCTGGCAATTACTCATTTCAGGAGGGATGGAGAGGTCAGAGGGGCCACATCTTTTTTCCTTTTTTTTCTGCTTAGAAAAACACAGAGTACAGGGCACAGAATACAGTACATGTCATGCCCTGTGATTTTAGTGACTGTGACCCAGTAGATATTGGGTGTTTGTGACCACACTGAGAAAGTCCCTGCCTAGGTTGCTAGTGAATTTATATCGTGGGAACTGCATGTTGAGACTTTTTTGATTAAGATTTAGAATTTAAGTATTCATGCTTGATTCATGGGAAAGACCAAACAGTATAGTTTCCTCGTATCAAGAGAAGATTGTTTTTAATCTTCCAGAATCTTGACAAGGTGATACTGAGGAAAATAAACTGATTAAAGAAGCTGTATCAGCACGCACAAATTGTAGGTCCAATTTAGATGTATGGTGAGGGAGAAGCCACAAGAGAGAATAATAATAAAACTAACATTATGCAGCATCTGATATATACCAGGTACTATCTATATGACCTTATATGAATTACTCAAACTTACAAGAGCACCCTGAGACATATACTAATATGACTCTCATTTTTCAGATGGGAATATAAAGTCCAGAGTGGCTAAATGACTCAAGCCAGGCCACACAGCTCTTGGGTGGAGAACTGGGATGATATCTAAGCAGTGTGGTTCCACTGTCCATGTGCTTTATCACCATACTGGAAACTCCGTGAAGTACTCCATTAGAAAGAGCTGAGGAAGTCTAATTTTCAGACTGTCCCACCTGATGCTCCTGTTATGTCCATTGCCTTTAAATTCCTCGCTTTTATGATGGTAATGGTCAGCCTGCCAGCCGTGGGAAGATAGCAGAGGGAAAACATGAGCTCTCCAAGATCTACGTTGTCCTGTGGACAAAGCACAAATGGAAGCATTAGAAGTGTCCCAGCTGGGATGCACGAGGCTCAGCCTCAGGGCGGCACTGGCCGGAACACACTGCGCCTCCTGCTCAGCTCAGGAACCCCTGGCATCTCCGTCATTCAGGTCAGACACAGGGAGACGGTTTCATCCCTGCACTTCGGGAGTCCCCACCTAGGAAAGCACAGCCCATCTTCAGATAGCAAAGCAGAGCCATACACAGTCATGCACAGGCTGGCGCCGGTTCCTGTAGCCCAGAACATGTCTAGAGAGGAAATCTCACCTCTTTAATGGTCCTGCACGGAAGCCCATCATGGCTCCATTGTCCTACCATAGTTCACGCAGAGCCTTCAGCCAAAGCCGTACAAAGGTGCCCCAAGGTGCTCCACAGCCCCACCCTAGCCCAGGCTTTCCACATGTAGCCCCATAGGCCCTTTGGTAGAATTTCAAATGGGACCCCGTACACCTCTCCTGCTCCCCTACACAACCGTTCACATTAGCCAGTTTCTTCGCACACTCCTGCTTATCCCCCACCCCCACAGTCCCCACTCTCACTCAGAACACTGCACAACCTGTGCACACCAACACATCTTCCCTGGACCCTGGAATCTTCTAGCCCCTCATATAGTTCTACACAAGCAGCAGTCTGTGAACCCACACGTTTATAGCTCTGATGTCCCTCATACCTGCATGGTTCTGCATGGGAGAGCAGAGCTGTAGGTCCCCAGACACCCCTGCTGCCTACTCCTTGGGTCCCAGTTGACACAGCTCTTCCCTTCTCTGTGTGTGTCTTTAAGTAACCCCCTTCCCCTCTGCTGTGGAAGATATCAACTTGGGCAGCATGCAGCCATTCAGATAGGTCAGAAAACATGATGCTCTTTCTCCTTTTTTTTTTAGTCCAGAGAGAATGTAACCAGGGAGAGAGGAAAAAAAAAGCCAGTTTATTTAGTTTCAATTTCTGAAAGGTACCTGAGGGTACTGAGTTGGGTGCCTGTCTCTAATTAATATCGTTTTATACTGACAGTACTCTGGGAGTCAGGTTTTTGCCCTCAACATCCACAGCCTTCCTTTCCCTCCTGGATTCCCCAAGGATGTTTCTATTTTCAGAAGCGCAGATTCAGCTCTGTAAGGTCACCTCACCCAACCTCTCCAGCTCGACTGCTTCCACAGGAGGATGAGGGAAATGGGTCTGGTTGGTGGCTAAGGCAGATGGGACTGCTCTGTGTCTACATGCATTGCTTGCCTTGTGCAAATAAATCACCTCACCTGCAAGCCAGGATCCCCTGGTTCCTGGAGACCTGAGTGGCCAGGCCTTTCCCTTTGGGGAGAGCCTGCCGGGGAGGAGGAACAGTCCTACAGGAGCAGGGGTTTTATTTAAGGCTGGTCCTGGTTGCTTTGTGGTACAAGTTCCCTACTGTGGGAGCAGGGTCTGCCCTGTCTGAAGATAAGTCGTGCCCAGCCTTCTGCAGGTGACGGAGGGGAGAGAGAAACAATAGCAGTCCCCGCAGGTCATCCCTCTGCTTCCTTACTTCCGGGCCCATTTCTTTGCCCTTTGGCTTCTGTTGTTCTCTCGGGGGCTTTCTATTGCACCTATTTTCTTCTCTCACCTCATCCTGTCCAGAAAATCTTGCTTTTATAGGAGCAATCAAAGTCATGTCTGTGAAATCAAGTCTTTCAATATATATTTCCTGAGGGCCTGCACTGTGCACACAGCTTATAAATAAAGCCTGGGACATGAAAATTCACTCAGTTCAGTCCCTGCCCTCAAGGCTGACGCACATAATTAAATGTGATGTGTCAGATTACTTTTGGATTAAGTACACTTCATTTTTTCCCAGCATAGACCCCATTCATAAATATTTATGTTCTATGACTATTTGCTCACGAGTTAAAAGAAAATCGAACTTCAGACTTGATAGTGTATTCAGAATGTGAACTACAGTTAAAGCTCACATTTGTACTTCTAAAAGTAAAAATAGAAATTAAAGGCGTTGTTATCAAAGATGAAATACTTGGTCTTTAAGTTCATTAAAAAGTCTAAAATTTTCCAAACTATAAAAATAAAATGACAATAAAATTTAATATAGAAAATTTCAAATAAACTGGAAAAATATCCCCTCTTCTCAGGTCCACACCCACTATACCACTCCTTTCCCCAGAATAACACAATGAACAGTCATCCATTCTTCCACCCATCTATCTGTACATCTATTTATTCTTTCACTTATTCTTTTAATAGCTGTCACATAGTGAGTTCAGTGCTGCTGTTTCCAGACTGGGAGCTGAATCTGCAGTGATGAACAACAGTCACAGGGGTAAGAATGTGTACATCTTGATGTTTGTTAATATTCCCTTAAACCACTGATTTTCAATCAGGAGCAATTGTGCTCCCCCAAGGTTCATTTGATGCTATCTAGAGAGAAGTGTGATTGTCCAACTGAGGAGGACAATGCCTCAAAACATTCGACAATGCAAAAAGAAGCCTCTCACTAAAAAGAGTTACCTGCTCCAAAAGGTCAATGGTGCCAAGGTTGAGGAGCTCTGATTTACATAGAATGGCTTATATTCTCAGTGAAAGATTTCCTGAAATGCCGATAAAAGTCAAATGTAAAGGGGTGGTGGAGTATCTGGATCCTTTGTCATCTCGACAGGAATCAGACACGTGGAAGTGTCACCGGCAGCTGAGTGCCCAGGAGGATATAAGGGGAAGGAAAATGTCATACAAAGAAATGCTTCATTTGCTTCTGCTTTGTGTAGCCAAAGTTCAGTACCGTTAGCAAGACATATTGGGAATTTTTGAGTAAGTATGTATGAATTCTCTACCTGACAACTGGTACACTCTTCCTGTGTGGTTTCCCTGTAGTGAGTGGCCCAACTAATGTGCTTTTGTATTCCTCTTCTCTCCTCCTTCTGGGGAATTCCCTCCCTAATCTACAAAGTTCTGGAAGGGCTGTTGTAAGAATTTGGGGATCAAGGGCCGGGGATTTAGATCAGTGGTTCCGGCGCCTGCCTTGCAAGCACAAGGATCCAAGTTTGATCCTCAGTACCAAAAAAAAAAAAAAAAAAAAAAA